AGAGAGAGAGAGAGAGAGAGAGAGAGAGAGAGAGAGAGAGAGAACCAAATAAAATGAAAATCTTTCAACCCAACGAGGCAAGATCTGATAGAGTAAGACAAAGAACATGATAAAGGCAGCCAAAACAAAAAATTCAAAATTTTTGGTAAATAACAAATCAAATAACAAACACAAGTTTGTTTACATTCTGCTATTCAATTTATAAAAAATAATGAAAATAAACAAACAAACAAACAAACAAACAAACAAACAAACAAACAAACAACAAAACAACAACTCAGATCAAATTACTCACGTAGGCCACAATGAACAAATTTTTGAAAAGATTGGCTACAAGTAGATACCCAACACTAAAAAATGTTCATATTATTATATTAGTTTGAAGTGAAACATGAATCCACAAAACAAAAGAACCTTTCATTTTGAGCATGTTGATACTAAATTTATTGCAAAAGGATGACGTTTAAGGAAATTGTGAATGTTTATAATACATAAGTGTGTGCACATGGTGAAATATTAAAAACCGTTTGAGAAACAACTTTATTACAACATGTGCTTCACAAAGTCACTAGGCCTTATAGTAAATACGTCGTCAACTATCGAACATAGGTTCTCAAAACTTTTGCACAACGACTTGTATCAATTTGTTTAAACAGACAGGGGCGAAGGCTGACTTGTTTAACAGGGTAATCAAAGTGAAACGGGACCAGATATGGCCTGTAGATATCACACAAGAATCTTACTCGAGGCGGCGACTCTGAGTTGTGAATGAAAACAAATCCGGAATTCATATTGTATGTTCAACCGCCAAAATAATCGGAAAAGTATCTTATTAAATATCAGTTCCAACTAAAATTAGATTTAACTTTAGATGTGAATACATAAACACAAAGCAAAGAAGCAGTACTAGATCTATATGTTATAGATCTACCAATGAGTCTAATTCTTTGGTAGAACATGACAATTATCATTTTTTAAATTTCACATTTGGCTGTTTTTGCTAGCCTTCCGCGGCCAGGAGCTGGTGTCATAATCGAGGTCACGATCTGATTATAGGACGGTAAAAAGTCGAGGAAAAAAAAACAAGCACACGCAGCAGTCAAGAGGTTATTAGGAGTTAGTTCCCCTCACATTTGTGAGGTAGACTCAACCAGCGTTAGTTAGCATACATAATCAGGGCTTGAGATTGATTTTAACTGTGGCCCCAAAGGGGTGAACAGGGTAAAAGTGGCAAGGAAACAGCTTGGACTGCTATGTACATGTCCCCTTCAATTCTATTGATAGACTCTTCCAGACTCACTTTAAGCTTATTTAATCAAAGCTTGCGACTGCTTATGGAGTGGCCCGAGAGGGGTGAGGAGGCTATTTCTGTGGCCGTGAAACCGTTTTGAATGTTAGGCATACTGTTCATTGTTGAATACGAACGTCTTTTTACATTTAATTTAAGAGGTTTACGTTTAA